GGAGGCAGTGGAGGGACCGCTTGAAGTTGCTCCAAGACCGGGCCTAAATCGGTGGTGGTAACGAGCCCACCTTGATGGGAGGGTCCACCATGTTCGGCGGCAGTGTCACGGAGGTTGCTAGATCCGGTTGCGGGTCCGGTAGGTGGCACGGTGGCGAGAGGTGGTGGTGCCACCATGTCGATCGCGGGATCGTGGGTGGAATGGCTTTGAGCCATCTCGGATCGAGCCATCGCGGCGGTTTTAGAATTCTCTAACATATTAAAGCCAATGAGCATGGGGTTTATAGTGATTAATGTTTGTGCAAATAATCTCACGGGAGAATATTCGCTTCTAGATCCTTCAACCTTCGATCTTCCTTCTCTCTCTTCCTCGATTCCTGTAAAATAGATTGGAGTAAATAGACCACACCCGGGGGGTGTTGGCCAAAGGCCCTCCGATGCCTAAGTTAGTTCGAGTGTTTGTAGGAAAACAATAGCTAAGCAAAGGGTACGGAGTAGTGTTTATGTAGGGTGTGAACCGGGCGGCCGGAGCCGTGTGGAGAAAATATGGAGAGTGGAGAGGGAGAAAGAGAGAGCTTCGGGTATTTTTCTCGGGTATTAGGAGTATGTTTAGATGGACCTTGAATGATGAATGAAGTCATCTATTTATAGGAGCCTCGGGGCTAGGGTTTCGTAGAGAATATAATGAGTTTATTCTCTACCCAAATTCGTAGGGATCGAGTCAGACTGAGATAATATCTGATTTAATGATATTATCTCTTTTTATGGAGATAATATCTTAATTAAATGATATTATCTTTATGTAATACGATAATATCATTAATTAAGATATTATCCTAATAAAGAGAAGATAATGTCATTATCTCAGATATTATCTCCATAAAAAGAGATAATATCATTTAATTAAGATATTTATCCTAATTAATTAATTGGCCAGATAAACTGGTTCAATTAATTAATTAAAAGAGATAATCTTCTTTTCCACGTGGCGTGCTGTGATTGGAGACGAAAATATCTGCTCCCACACCCTACATGACATGTGAGTATTTTTTGTTCATTCTTTGAGGTGTTTGCCATTTTTACATAAACAATTTTAATACTGCAGATGAACCGCGTGGGCTTGCTTTTCACCTTTTTTTAAATTTTTTTTAAAAAAATTAAAATAAAAATGTAATTTATTTTCACTTGTTAGATATGCCGTTGTACAAGTGAGGATGATTTGGTTGGTTTCCATTTATACATTAAAATAGCAAACATGGTATGGAGGTCACGTGATTTGGTTCCCATATATTAAACCAGTCAGGGATCTCCAAGAAATAAGGTGACAAGGTTTACTTGGGATTGAGAGCAAAAGTAACTTCTATTATTATTTTTGGGTCAGGTTCGGAGAACGCATATTTTTGACACATATTTTGACACACATTTTCAACCATTAGATTAAAAGATTATGAATGATTAGGATTGCATTTAAAATAAATAATTTACTCCTTAAAAGTATAATTAATACACATTGGAAATGGTAAAACTTTTTATAGTTTTAAATCCTTTTTTAATCTTACATGACCTCCTCTTTATAATTGCCCAAGGCACAACTTTCGCTTCTAGGGCTCTGCTGGTGTTCTTCTTCCTGTGGAGGATTTTCTAATTTATCCTTGTTCCAAAAGTAAACGGCAGCTCATAGGTAGCAAGAGTTAAGTATGTCCAGACGGCTCGAGTTTACCATCGATGAAATAGTTGGTATGGTATCCATAATGCAATGCCATTACCGTATTACGTACTTTGTCATCAGCACCATCCACTCCCATCAACGGTAAACGCAATTAATCCTTCTTCCACAAGCACTTCCATCGCTCCTAATAAGAACAACTGTGGAAGTAACCAATAGATGGTCATGGGACCAGTGTGATCTCCAACTGCAACCCTCCTCTGAAGGGACTCTGCTTTCTTAAAAATTGCTTGTCAAGAATTTACTCCAATGCAGCTGAACGTCCAGCTTCGCATGCTGATATTAGTGCCAGAGCTCCATAGAAAAATACCCAGACTGCATCATCTAGGTCCGAGTACTCCCTGTAAAAATATAATGGCAGAGCCTGCAAGACTAATGTTAATGTTAGTTAGTACATGAGTGTGAAGGGGTTTAGGAAATGCTGGATAAGAAAGGAGGAGTAAATAGATTAAATACCTTGAATGCATAATGTAGCCTTGGAAAAATACAAGTATTTTTGGAGCCGCTTGCACACTGAACTACCCATGAGTTTCAAGAAAAACAATAATTAATCTGCTACCAAAATGACTTACAGCAACCAATAAGAATATACAAATTTTTTTTTTTTCATTCCAAGAAAATGAAAAACAAGAGGAAGAGGAAAACCAGAGACCGGGGTCTTTGCAAGATACCTAGTACCATTGTTGTTAATTGCAGTTTGCACATCTCAAGCCACCCCTCATGGTCACAGCCCCAACCTCCCCATCAACCACCACACTCTTAACTCCATAAACAACCCCCAATCTCTGTCTCTGTCTTTGTCTCTCCCCTGACATGCCCTCTCTCTCTCTTCCCCTGTTTCTGTTTCTCTTTCTCTGTCTTTCTCCTCATATCATCTCATAATCTCCTTCACACTGGAAGGAATCAGTCGTAAGATCAACATTAATTCCATTAACTGAAGGTTGCCAAAGAAGATTTCGTAAAATTAATTAATTAATTTGTAAAATTACTGCTGGTATTTTTTAGGTCTTGCAGGTATGTGGAGCTTTCTCCACTGTTGTGCTCAACAATTCCATAGCACAATCATTCTAATTCAATCAACTTCTAATTAATTTATTAATGTTGTGGATGGATACAGAAAAAAATGTCATTTTCCCACCACGAGAAGCATATGATTTTTCTTTTTTCATAGAAGAGATAGTCTAAATTATAAGGAAAACAGATTTCTCACGCACACACCATTATGATTTTATAGGAGTTCGAGCTGATAAGTTTATGATTTTAAAACTTTAAAAAAAAAAAAGTAATAATAATAAAGAGGGTAATTGTAAGAAATTGATTATGAGACAACCTAATTGGTTGAAATTGTGTTTTTGGATAGTGAGAGAGACGAGGATGATGCTGCTGAGGATTGAGATTATATCGGTTGAGTCGGTTGTGCCATGAGCTAAACCGGCGCAGAGACTACGGTGTGAGATCTCACTAGATGATGGGGGGGAGGGAGATGCAGATAAATTTGCTAAAAAACACAAAAGATAAGGGAAAAGAGCAAGCAAGAAAGCAAATTTGCCCAAGAAATGTTACTAATCTGGGTTGGCACATTTCGCATCAAAGAATGTTGGGATCCGTTTCAGCAATCAAGGAATGGTAGCGTGAGCTTGGCCTATTCAAGCCCATTTAGAAAAACTACACATGAAACATAAGCATTTTTGTTTGTTGGGTTGTATGTCACAGAGTTTTAACGTATAGCGACGGTTTTAACTTCGTATTTCGATAGTAGAGCACTTATTCTCACATTCATCACAAGAGCATTTACAATGAGGGATTGTATTTTGGGGGGTGTAAAGCGATTTTTATATCCCATTTATACATCTAGAAGTAGTAAATGTGGTTTTTGCTCCAATGGGGAAGATGTAAATATAAAGATATATAATTTATTTTGCTTACTTTTGCCCATTTTTTCTAACTTTTTCTCTTGTAGGTCCCATCTGAAAGGGATGTAAATATTTTTTTTAAAAAAAAGCACATGTGCATCTAAATTTGCATCTTACGGTTGTGATGCAAATTTACAATTGTTTACACATCTCTATTGCAGGTGATTCTGATCACAAATGGTGTATATTTAACATACACCTCATTATATAACCCCATACTGTAAGAATTTAACTCTTATTTTCCCGTATGAAAGTAGTTTTTTAAGCGAAAGAAAACCTCAGACAATAAGATTAGTATTAAGAAACTAATGAGAAATCAAATGTCGTTATCCATTATTAGCAACAATGGAAAAAAAGAAATTGGTGTTTACAATCTATTTATCTCCCACCAAACAAGTGCGGCAAACTGATCACCCACCATAAGCACGTACATGCGTACAAAAAAGCACATGAACAGTCAAAGATTCATGAGCTACTTGACAATCTTGACTCCACCCAACTGACATGACATGTGAGCTTTTGTTGTTCATTCTTTGAGGTGTTGGCCATTTTTGCATAAACAATTTTTAATGCCGCAGATAAATCCCGTGGGCTTGGTTTTACATTAAAATAGCAAACACGGTATGGAGGTCACGTGATTTGGTTTACGTATATTAAACCAGTCATGGATCTCCAAGAGCAAAACTAACTTGTATTATTATTCTTTGTTACTTGTTCTTAATACATTTCTTTCTTTTTTAGCTGAATGCATTTTGACTGGCTTTTTCTGATCCTCTTAGATTCCGCACTGGTGCGCTTTCAGCCTTTCAGCTTTGTTCTTGATAAGCTAGCTTTACATTTAGAGGATTCTTTACAGGCTTTTCGGCATGTAATTTATATTTTTTACCTTGGCCAATGCCCACGCCAGAACTTCAATCTAATATGAAATTAATAGGTTAAAGTTCAAATCAAATTCAATTTGTACCATTCAATTAGTAGGCAAAGGATGCATTAGTGTAGTGGTTTGGACTAATTGTTTTTCAAGAAAAAGTTCTGGGTTCGAGTACTAGCATCCGTATAGTGTATGTAAGTTTGATATACTATCGCCCCTTTCAATAGGAAATGTCCTAAAAAAATATCATTGTACCTTGCAAAAAGTCATTAACTCTTATGTTAGTCAATTCTGTTTTCTCTGAAGAGTCACAACATGTCTAATAAGAAACTAATTTGTGAAGTGACAAATGAAATTACCAATTCATTTCGTGAGAAGGCTTTATATAATTCAAATTATTTATATTTAATTAATAAAGTATAGTTGGAAACTTGGAAGTGTAAAAGGTTTATAGAGCATTTACTAGGGCTTACCAATACCCAACGGCCATTACTCTTCCCACACGCCTCTAGAGCCCCCAAAAGCTCACTTTTTCACTCCACCCCACTTTCCTTCCCTCCTCCTCTTTTCTTCTCCCTTTGCCCTCTTTCATTTTCTGCTGCTAAGAAAAACCAAATATTTACGACACTTTGCTCTGCTTTCCCACAAACAGAACCCAAAAAACTCATCCTTCCTTAGAAACACATCCAAACATACACAGAAAATGTCTAACAAGTCACCAATATTTCCGATGCCACAACCTCAACACTTCAGCGACTATGGCTTTGACCCTCAAATCGACTATTTTCAGGTCCCATTAATCTTCACCATTTCTCTCTTTCTATCTCTCTCTCTCTCAATGCTTTTACTCTGCATAAAAGTTTTTATCTGATTCTGACCCTTTTCTTTTCTTGTCAAAAACATCAAGGTCCTGGAAGAAGCAAGAAGACACAAACGTGAGACAACAAGATCCATAGACTCCATACACTTCAAGCTCCAAAAACCCATCTCCAAAGACGACCCCAAAAAGACCCACAAGGCCAAGAAGCGCTGGTGGAAAAGCGCTCTGCTTTTCTTCAAATGCATCACCCACCACCACCATGGCCACAACAATCGCAGCGAAGAAGACGTGCACCAGGCCAGGGCTAATGCCTTCAGGGCCTCAATTTCAGGTCCCGTCTATATCACAGAGAGCAGAAGTGACTCGAGCACGCCTTACCGTACGACAAGCAGGCCGTCGTCGGGACCCCTCTCCGGAACTCTGTCTCCGGCAAGTAGGGGTGAGCTGGACATTCCTTATCTCAGCCTCAGGGAGCTTAACATGGAGCAGCAGCAACAGAGGAACTCTACCTCTGCCATGCCCATATATTTGGTTACTTGATTACTATTTTACTTGAGTGATTAGATTAATCATATTGTTAGTCTTTGGAGAGCCATATATATATTTTACTAAGCGCTCTTCTTTTGATTGATTAAATGGGGGGTGTTAATTGGGGTTTGTTTGTCCATTTTTGATCCTTTGGAGGACAGCTAGATCCTCCTTTTGGTGTTTGTTGCTCACTTTTTCAAGCTATGAAACTAATGAACCCTGCTTTGACTTAAGTCAACCTTCTACTGATCTCTTGTTAGTCATCTAGGGTGAGTTTGGGAGTGATCTAGATAGACCAAAAAGCACTTTTATGGAGAATCACTTTTCTATATCATCCACTTTTCAATGTTTCTGATAATAAGTTAAAGAATTTATAATAGGGCCCCTTTCAATCAATCTATTCTTCATCTTTGTCACCAAACCCTTTGTTTTTCCATCATAACTCCAATTATGTTGCATATCGTGTAAGTTGGGTTAACCCTTATGAGCAATTGCTTCAGTAAAAATATTTGAATACTTTATCTTCCATAATCCCCCTTAGTTGTTGGGTAACATCATGTGCGATCATTAAGATCTTTGATGGATCTTATGTGATCCCATTTGATATTTGGGTTTGTTTATTTGATTGTTGAATTTAGCTCCCACAAGATCTATGTATGTGAAATCGGTAGCTTAAATTGCCGGCCAGTGTGGACCAAAACGTTATCTAAAAGTCATTGTTTTGATTTCTGGAATGAAGTGGAATAGGAATTGGAATAATGAGAATGAAATTAAGTAAAGAACATAATTTATTGCCTAGTTTGATTGAAAATAAGAGTCAAAGTTTGGTACCGAGGATCCATTCTCTTCCGCTATTTGGTTAACCATTTGGGTCCAGATATCTCATTCGAGATTCGGATTTGGAGTTTTTGTCCTCCCAAACTTGAAATTCTAGCCCCGCCCTATAATTTAAAGCTTGAAGCTTTTTTGACTCAAGTGAATTAGAGGAATGAAATGTACATTCTTTACTACTAATTTTAGAATCTCCATTTTGTCCTTTTGGGAATCGAAAATAGCATTGTCTAAGTTATACATGTGAATAGTGGAATGGTAATTCCTTCATTGTGATTTGTGTCGAACCAAACACCTCAAGCAAACAATATTGAAAGCATTGAAGCAGTTGCTTGGGATGGGATGTGAAGGGAGGGAAACAGGCAAAAAAAAGGGAATGCCTACTCATCGACAAAATGCAAGAAGATGGGTTTCAGCGGCCTAATGTGAGCAGAGCATTACATGCCCAACTGCCCACAACTGCCGAGTAGAAGGAGCAGACAAAAAATGGATACAGGGATGGGTCGGTTTCAAATAAGCACAAAGACAAAAAAACAAAGCACAAGGCTCCAAATTACGGAGCGGCAGCAACAAAACAACCAAGCACATTCATGTGCCATTTGGTCCTCCGCTCCTCTCGTCTCCCTCGGCAACTTAATCTGCGCACCATGTCATTTCGCTATCCATACTAACTTTTCTATGTCATTGTCTGTCAGTTGGATCTGAGAGTGGGAAAGGAAAAGAGAACCTCTGAGCACACCACTTTTGCAGGGCGGCCTCAGGTTTGTGGGCTTATACTTTAACTTTTGACCTTTTAGTGGGCCTCACAGGCCCAATATTTTTGTTCCTAAAATCCCAAAACAGGGTTCACGTAGGAACCTACATGTAAAATCTGAGTATACCTTATTGATATGTAAGCGTAGCTCAACTCAATTACCGAGTAGGTGAATGAATTACATAATCTAATTATATCATTCTATTGCATGGATAATGGAAGTCAAACAAGAGAACTTTAACTAAAACATATTGTTAGAAAGTCGACGGGTCAGTCTAACTCAATGAAAAATGACATTGATTTGTAGACCGATTATTTCAAGTTCAAACTGCTATGTCACCTTCATAGTGTGTATATAAGAATCCTCCTCTTCTTAATATAGACTATCGGTTGTATTTTAAAATAAAACATATTGTTATACACACTTAAGGGCCAGGCCAGGCATTAATTAACTGCAGCAGAATAATTGTTGTAATTTTATCAAGATGGAAAGACAAGGCCCCAAGGAAGGCACTAGTGGACTGATGATTCTGGAAAACAATTTAGCTTTTAGCCCGAAAAAGAAAGAAGCCCTTGGTGCCTGGTGCCTAGTGGGTCTACCCAAGTTGAATCCGATCCCCTCCCCATCACTCTAAAATGTCGAGGCCTTTTCGGGTAACATGTTGCAGATTTTATTTTCCATAAAACTTATGGATTACATTATTAACATAGAAAAAGGAATTCAAATTTAATATTTTATATTTGGCATCTTCCTTGGAGATGCTCTAATGACTTAGAAAAAAAATCTCAACTCATGTAATCTTCGATTCAAATATTGCCACATGTCAATTTTTTTATTATTATTTTTTTTTACAACTGAACTCATCAATTCATTTGTATAAAATAAAATTAGAAAAACAAAATTTTTAAAAGAAAATAATGAGAATAATATGTCTAGCAAACCACCATTTCTCTCCCTGTCTAACCCCTACCCCAACAATAACCCATTTACAGAGCAACCGCTAAGGGCCAATCAAAGTAACCACCAATCCTCTGATCCGTTCATAATTTATATCGATCTAGCCGTGATAATATATATTGCCTGCCTTCCACCAAAGAATCTCAATTCAATAAAACTCATTTTAGCAGGACATATTATACAAAATTCATATGGAGCCTATTTGGAGAGAAAACCCAAAACTAGCCACTTGTCATTTTCCAATTGGTTCTTAATGTCTTAGAATTTTATAAGAACTAATTAGAAAATAACAAGTTGCTAGTTTGGGGTTTTCACTCCAAATAGGCTCTATAAGGGCTTTTATATATGAGTAATGCTACACTTATCACATTATTATCCCACATTTCTATACCACATGATGTGGCATGTCCATATTATATGTCATATCAATTAAATTAATGGGAAACTAGTATTTTACATGATGTGGTATGTATACATTAGCTTGCCACATCATGTGGTATAAAATTGTGGTATAAAAAATGTGGTAAGACTAGTATTATTCTTTATATATTATGTCATGCTAAAATGAATTTATTAGTGAAATCCTTTGTAAAAAAAACTAAAAACTAAAAAACTAAAATCCGTAAACATTTTCAATTTGATATCATCACCCTCTCTAAAAAATTTCCATCTTTGGTGGTAAAAAGTTGCTATTTTAATTTTAAAACTATTGTTCGATTTACAGTATGAGTTCTATTTGATAAATGCAAGAGACTATAAAATACTTGTGCTTGGGCCTGGTTGAAATTTGACTGGGTTAAGCCCAAGATTTGACAATTAAATTAACATTGAGCCCAACCAGTGGGCCTAATCAATAAGGTCGGATAGAAGCCCAAAATCATAAATATAGCAGAATATCTACATGTAGCGGAATACACCAATCTGGCCAAACACATCAATATGGCAGATGGCAGAGAGCATAAAAATGGTTGAGAGCCTATATGCGGTCGAAATTGTAGATACGGTCAAAAGACTAAAAGCGGCCGAGTATATAAAATCATTCAATGCTTAAATAACGAGAGAGATAATCTCTAGGAAGATTTTCTCATAGGTTGTTGTTCAAATATATAATGAATTATGCCAACTTGATGGTCAACCGAAGTTATTGTGGGAGAGCTCAAGATAGAAGGAAAATCAAATCAAATGTTATTGTTCACATTAAATCACATGCATGAGACAAGGGATTGAAGACATTTTGGAGCAATTATGATTGATTTGAAGGCTAATTGACAACCGACCAAATTGAGACACACCGAAGCTTCTATAAATACTAAGCTTATGGAAGAGAGAAAGGACCCCCAACACAACACACAACTTGTCATTTTACATTCTCTTCAATTTCTATCATAGGAGTAGCATAATGTAGCCATAGCCTAGTTCTTATTTTTTCCGCTCTAGTTTCCGTAGATTTCAATTATGCCTTTACATTCCTGTTCTTGTTTTTCAATTCTATTTTAATCATAGTAACTTCAATTCATGTTATCTTTACTGTTCTTCGTAATCTAGTTTACTTTCCACCCTTTACTTTACGCACTCGCATTTCAATTATTTAATTTATACAATTTACATTACGCACTTGTCTTTACATTTATTTTACGTACTTTTACGCACTCGTCTTTAAATTATTTATTTTACGCACTTTACTTTCTGCACTTATCTTTAAATTATATTTGAATTCAAGCACCTTTTACTATACGCACGTGTTCTTCGTTTCATTACATTTCTCCTTCAATCTTCATCTCCACCCACTCCACATCATTTGGTTGCTCACATAAAGCCTTGACTTCGAGGTAATGAAAAAACCTAGGCCCTAATGAGGTTCCTTGCTCGGCCAAACAATCGTTTGATTAAAGTCAAATTTCGGACGCATCATCTACTCACATTCCATTCAAGCCTAATTTGTGGCTTGGTTGTGGCACGCCTCACACTCAATTAAAGAAGGACCAAAAACTCCTTCAATCAGCCCACCCGACCGAAAATAGGGAAAAAACTTGCTTAATTGTTGTGAAGGGAAACGTTCAAAACAAATTGGTTTGATTATTAATTTAAGGTCTAAACTAGTTTAATTTGAATTTGCAGACATGAGATCACAATATTGAATTGGTGGCTTCATGAAATTTTCTTTCAAGATGGGTTGGATAAGGTGGATAGAGCTTGAATTGCATCCTCTTTGGCCTTCACCTGCTAGAACATCTGGAAGTCACGTTGTAAGGCAATCACGGATGGCTGTATTCCATCCTCAGCGATGACTGCGATTGCATCCTCTTCTGCTACCTATGATTTTTTAAGGGCAAAAGCTCACATTGTGGCAATTAGAAAGTCTTTCGTCTCTCCCGAGCTGAGAATTGGTACTTGGTGCCCCTCTTCTGCCAGAAAATGAAAATAAATATTGATGTAGCCTGGTATGCTGAAACACAACGAGGTGGCATTGAATTAATTGCTAGGGATCACCTCAGATCTTTTATTGTAGTCAAGGAGTGTCCATGTAAGGCAAATTCGGCGTTGGAATTGGAAGCTATGGGTGTTGAAGAGGCATGTTCCTTTGCTATTAAGCATCAATTCCGCCAGGTTTAGTTCGTGATGGATTGTAGAGAGGTTATTCGTGGAGTACAAAGACATATTTTGAGAGGTCGGTGGGAGTTATATCCTTTCCTCTGCACGATTAAGGAGCTACGCTAGGCTTAGTGTCCAAGAACAGCTAATGTGGTAATAGATCACAATACGACTCTAGCAAGTGTGAGGATGAGCGCTATGACCTGGGCCATTAGATTGAGACATGATTTCTTTGTCCCCAATTTCCATGTCCCCTTAGAGCATTTTCACCTATTTGTTATGGCAAAAGGTAAAGGGAGGCAAATGTTGATACTATTCACATGAATAGTGCCTACCATAGCAATTTTTTTGTTGGTTTTCCACCCATTGTCATAGCAATCCAAATACAACCACTATTCACATGAGATATGAGAGAGATGAATTTGTATAGAATTTTAGTATGGGAAATGAGGACTATGGCAAGCTATTTATTATTATTATTTTTTGAAAAGTTTGGTATTTTTTCAGAATTTTTAGAAGTTTTTATTATTATTTTTTTGCTGCTGACGTCACAACTGACGTGGCGCTCACCCAACGGCTCGGACTGTTCTGTGTCGTTTTCTAGTGCATCCATGATTAACGATAGCGTCACCTTCCTTTCTATCCTCTTAGTTCTCAGCAACAAACACTCCTCATGCAACACCAACATAAAACATAAACCAGAGAGTTGATGACGGAGATGGAGGGCGTAGAGCACAGAACAGTCCAAGTCAATGGCATAAAGGGCCGCCCGCCCGGGCCTCCGCGGCTTTGGTGATACCGACGTCCCCGATTCCGCCACGAGCTACACCTGTCTCCACGTGGTCGGAGACCTCATCACCCTCCTCGATGCCATAGCCCCCGACCAGGACAAGGTGTTCGTGGTGGGCCACGACTGGGGCGCTTACTTAGCTTGGTTACTCTGCCTGTTCCGGCCTGACCGGGTCAAAGCCTTGGTCAACCTGAGCGTGGCTTTCATGCCTAGAAACCCTCAGAGGAAGTTCATTGAATCTGTGAAAGCTGTTTATGGGGATGACTATTACATGTGCAGATTTCAGGTTCAATCTCATCCGTCCCCTGTTTTTTTGTTTTTATTTTTATTAAATTTTCTGACTTGTTTGTTTAGAAATTTTGTGGTCCACTAATTTTCAATCTGTTTAGGTTACAACATTTTATTGATGGACTCACTTTTCGAGGTGATTAGTTTAAAGGAGATAATGGTTTTAGATAATCTTGATTAGTTGAAAATGACCATGTATCCAATGAATCCGAATCTCATTGCCTTGTGGCCCTTATCTTAAGTCTTATTTTAATCTTGATTAGTTGTTAATTAAAGTTTCGGCTTGTTCAAGGAAAGTAGTTTAATAGCAGATTATGTGTGAACACCTTATGATTGCCTCATTCCTCACACCAACTCTTCCTCGCCAAGAAAATGAAGTTCATATAGTTTTTCAGCTGATGCGAATTTGTTTTTTGGGGGTTTGAATTTAATGGAAATGTTCTCATGTTAGATTGCTGTGAGGGGTTACGGTACATATACTCAGTATTAACATTTCGAAATACACCACTTGTTGGGCCATCATGACCCATTGAGTGGTTCCCAACGAGTGGTATTTCGAGGATTTTGTACTGGTGAGCATGCGAATGTAACGTAAAAAATTGTGTTGCTAGATTGTGAATAAGGCACATTGATTAAATTAGTGTGAAATGTTGTAAACGTTTAGAAGCAACATATATACTTGCATAAATTTCAGTTCTGGATCGTGATAGATAAACTACTCATGTTACAGGAGCCAGGAGTGATGGAAGCTGAGTTTGCCAAACTTGGTACTGCAAGAGTTATGAAGGAATTTCTAACATATCGCAATCCTGGTCCACTTTTCCTGCCTGAAGATAAAATGTTTGGACATCCCCCAGATGCTCCAATTGTCTTGCCGAGTTGGTTGTCTGAGGATGAAGTCAACTACTATGCCAGCAAATTTGAGAAGACAGGATTCACTGGGGGCTTGAACTACTACAGAAACTTTGACCTGTATGTGATTTCCTTTAAACTTAGTTTACTTGAATTTCATATGCACAAACTAATTTTAGCAAGAAAGAGCTTTTCTTGTTTGTCGAATATATATTCTGAAGGTTTGCTTGGAATGCAGAAATTGGGAGCTCACTGCAGCGTGGACTGAGGTTCAAGTGAAAGTTCCAGTTAAGTTCATTGTGGGAGACCAGGACCTAGTTTATAATTCTCTTGACGCCAAGGACTTCATACACAAAGGTGGGTTCAAGAAATATGTGCCGCTTCTCGAAGAGGTGGTTGTAATGGAAGGAGTCGCCCATTTTATCAACCAAGAAAAGCCTGATGAAATCAGCAAACACATTCATGACTTCATCGTTAAATTTCACTAATTAGCTGTCTCTATATATATGTATGTTGTATGCTGCTGCTGTTTCAAACTCTCTGTTATGCATTTCTTGTGCATTCATTAATAAAGTGTTTTGTATTTTGAGATGGGAATTCTTCAACTTCATGTGTTGTATCCTGGAGATTGCAGCAGCAGTCCTTGGTGGTGATGGATTTGCTCTGTGGTGTTGTTGGCTTGCTCGGTGGTGCGGCTGTTCCTGTTCTAGATATAGGGTTTCTTTGTTTATTGTTTTATGGGCTTTGTTGTTTAGCTACCTTTGTATCTTTGGGCCTGCTGTATTTGTTGGTGCTGGGCTGCATTTGGATTGAGTTTTCCTTATTTTGTAATGTTTCCTATCATTAATGAATGGAGTTTCCCTTGACTGAAAAAAAGAATACAAATTTATATACTAGGAGAAGTAGGAGATAGCAGCTGGTCTTGAGCTCCTAATCCTAGAGATTGCAGCAGCAGCCTCACAGCCGCCTAGAGATTTTTCTTCTTTTCTTTTGCTTTTGAGGTGACACAAAAGGAACGGTTTCCATGCTTTTACGAAGATAAAGCGTGTTGAATAATTTGCAATTCTCTCTTGGCGTGGGGCAAAACACCATAGTCAAACCAAAACCATTAGAACAGGTTGGTTTGGTTTTCATACTAAAACAGTGTAATAACTTGATGAATTTGTTTGGTTCAATTATATTAATTTGAGGTCTATCCAATTCAAAAAATGAAAAATATCAACATATCATTTTTATTTGTGCACTACTGCTTTTTATAGGGAAAAATTTGTAAGAAGATTCTTCAATAAGTATTTTATGTTAATGATTGATTACATACTTCTAATTTCGACAATTAAATTACATTTATTAAATATGTTATTGGTATCTTAAATGCAATTTAACAGCCAAAATTAAAAGTATGTAACCAATTCTTAACTTATTGGAGAATCTCCCGAAACTAGAAAACCCGTAATTGCCTACCCAAAAATGGTTTTAGAAAAAAAGAATTTCTGTTTTTACTTTGTTGGTTTCTAGTGGACACGTGATTAACGATAGTCTACGTCGTTCACCTTTCTTTCTGGCAAGTTGTCCCCTTCAAATTCCTCGCTTTCTTTCTCAGCAAACAAACACCCCTTTTGTGCCACTCTATAATTCTCTATCAATACATAAATACCACTCAATACAACCAAACACTAAGCAATTACTGATAAGTTCCTCCCATACAGAGAGAAACAGAGATAAACAGATAATTTCATGGTGGAGATGGATGGTATAGAGCACAGAACAGTCCAAGTCAATGGCATAAACATGCACATAGCCGAGAAAGGCCAGGGCCCACTCATCCTCTTCCTCCACGGCTTCCCCGAGCTCTGGTACTCCTGGCGCCACCAGATCACAGCCCTCGCCTCCCTCGGCTACAGAGCCGTGGCGCCGGACCTCCGAGGCTTCGGCGATACGGACGCGCCCGATTCGCCCACGAGCTACACGTGTCTCCACGTGATCGGTGACCTCGTCGCCCTCCTCGACGCCATAGCCCCCGACCAGGACAAGGTGTTCGTGGTGGGCCACGACTGGGGTGCGTTGATTGCTTGGTACCTCTGCTTGTTCCGGCCGGATCGGGTCAAAGCCTTGGTCAACATGAGCGTGGTTTTCCCGCCTAGAAACCCTCGGAGGAAGACACTTGAATCTCTAAAAGCTGTTTATGGGGATGACTATTACATCTGCAGATTTCAGGTTCAATCTCATCCATCCCCTGCAAGTCAAGTTTGTGTTTTTTTCTTTTTTTTTCTTTTTCTGGGTTCAATTAAAATGCGGAAATTCAATAAATTCTGAGGATGTTGGAGGTATCCTGGATGCTTTTTATGATTTAATACTTATGATGAAATTATAGGACTTAGATTTAGCAACAAGGGCTTTGTGTATGTGGCCAAAAAGAAAAAGAGAAAAGAAGAAGAAGGGATTTGTGTGGCAACTTTAACTTGAGACAGAATGCATCTTTGCGTTAATATTTTATCTTTTGTTTAAGGATTGATTCTTTTGCTTATTATTATTTAATCTCTAAGTCAAAGAGTTTAACATTTTGTATTGCTGGACTCACTATTCCAAGTGATTAGTTTAAAGGGGATAATCTTGATTAGTTGAAATCGACCATGTATCTAATGAATCTGAATCTCACTGCCTTGTGGCCCTTCTCTTAAGTCTTGTTTTAAAGAGGGTAGCAATCATTGTTATAAATTATAGTTTCGGCTTGTGTGGACACCTTTTGATTGTGTCATTCCTGATGTAAGCCACTCCCACCAACTCCTCCTCACCAAGAAAATGAAGAAAATTTTACTTCATTTAGTTTTTTAGTTAATGTAAAATTTTCTTTTGAAGGTTGAAATTTCATGGAAATGTTCTCATGTTAGGTTGAAATACACCACTCGTTGAGTGATTCCCAACGAGGGGTATTTCGAGGTGTTTGTATTGTAGGAAAATCTTGTTGCTAATTGAGTGGGACATTTGACTCATTGAGTATTTCCCAACGAGTGGTATTTTGAGGTTCTTGTATTACGTATGTGAATGTACTGTAGAAAAATCGTGTTGCTAGATTGTGAATAAGGAACATTGATCAAATTAGTGTGAAGTGTGTAAATGTTCTGAAGCAACATATATATTGCATAAATTTAACTTCTGGCTTATGAAATGATAGACAAATTACTCTCGTTACAGGAGCCAGGAGTGATAGAAGCTGAGTTTGCCAAGATTGGTACTGCAAGAGTTATGAAGGAATTTCTAACATATCGCAATCCTGGTCCACTTTTCCTGCCTAAAGACATAATGTTTGGACATCCCCCAGATGCTCCAATCGTCTTGCCAAGTTGGTTGTCTGAGGATGAAGTCAACTACTATGCCAGCAAATTTGAGAAGACAGGATTCACTGGGGGAATAAACTACTACAGAAACTTGAACCTGTATGTAATTTCCTTTAAACTTAGTTTACTTGAATTTCATATGCGCAAACTAATTTTCGGAAGAAAGAGTTTTTCTTCTTTGATCTCCAATATCTAATGGTAATTATTGTTTTGTATTATTTCCCCTTTCATTGCAGAAATTGGGAACTCATTGCTGCATGGACTGGGGCTCAAGTGAAAGTTCCAGTGAAGTTTATTGTGGGGGACCAGGACCTAACTTATAATTCTGTGGGCACCAAGGACTTCATACACAAAGGTGGGTTCAAGAAATGTGTGCCTCTTCTGGAAGAGGTAGTTGTAATGGAAGGAGTTGCCCATTTTATCAACCAAGAAAGGCCTGATGAAATCAACAAACACATTCATGACTTCATCGCAAAATTTCACTAATTGGCTGTCTATATATGTCTGTATTTTGTATGCTGCTGCTGCTGTTTCAAACTTTCTATTATGCATTTCTCGATCGCGTGACTTTTAAGTGCTTTTGTGTGACTTTGAAGTGTTGTGTTTTTTGAGATGGTAATTTATACATCTGATGTTCTTCTAGCCTACAACTCTATAAAGTTTAAACAATAACTTATTCATGCACTTCCACTACTTTCCACTTTAGGGGATCTGAACAATCTACTCCACTTCCCCAATTCTGTAGAGAACTAGAGAGTTTAGAGAAGAATAAGTAGAACAGGAGAATAGCCCATATGATGGGTATTCTGATTCTATTTGATCTGTTTATATGCAAGGAATATGTACAGTAGGAAAGTAACAACGGTAATACATAAAATAGGTAATTCCAATATTACAGGCGTTGAGTGGGAGAATTTACTCTTGATTTGCTACAGGTTGTCGTGGTTTCTGGGTAATGTCTTGCAAAGTGATTGGCTGATTGGTAGGATGCTCTTCATGCCCCCTCAAGTGAAAGGGAACAAAAGGTTGAGTTTGGTAGCAAGGACAGTAAACCGTTCTCGAGACAAGCTTTTGGTAGTATCTGCTTGAATATGGTACAAGTCGCCAGAACTACTGCCAGTGAGTAGTATCCTCCCCGTCATATTGTCCTTCACATAAAAACCATTAGCGTGCATCACAAAATAGCAATTATTATCCTTAGAAAAACGTTGTATAGATATAGATTCTTTTGTATAGCAGGAACACATAGAACATTAGTGAGTTTCAAAGGACCGTTATGACATATGGAGAGATGAGTGCCATGCCTTGTGAGGAGAGGGAAGACATCCTCTTTAGCAGCTATTCTTCCTGTATTAACAAATCATAAAATTCATCAAAGGTCATAGAGGGTTGAAGATGAAGGGAGGTAGTAAATTCTTTATATTCATGGCCCAGGCCATTGAGTATATAATCAACAAGCTCTCCATCAGACATTGAGGTGCCAGCCGCAGTGAGAGAATCAAAGAGAGAGTTGGCATGGATCAAGTACTCAGCCACTGACTTTTCTGGATCCTTTTTGAGAGCCCATATTTGATCCCGCAGGGTACGAATGTGAGTTTTGGACAAGGGTGAGAGTCGTTTTTCAAGTAGCGTCCATGCCTCATATGCCGTGGAGCATGGAATCAAGAGGGTCTTAATAGAGGGTGAAGCTGTGGCCTTGATCCAGCTTAAGACTAGTTTGTCTTTTGAATAGGCTAGATTGAGAGAAGCATCAGGAAGTTTCTTTTGAGGATGGGTTTCTGTCTGAATCACATCTTCAAGATCATGTAGTTCTAGTACATCTTCAAACTGAGATTTCCAGCCGAGAAAATTATTGCAATCCATAAATGTTGTAAACAAGTGAGAGATATTGAAAGAAGTTGGAATAGAAGATGGTGTGGTGGTCGTGATATTTTGAGAATTGTTATGAGAGATGTGAGAGAGTTGAGAGTCAGAAGAAGAGTTCACGGGAGAGGAAGAATTTGTCATTAGGATCGAAAGGGCTTGTTAGCCTTTGTGAGGCTCTGATACCATGTAGAGAAATAGATAGAGTTTAGAGAAGAATAAGAAGTAGAAAAGGAGAATAGCCCTCAATGGGTATTCTGATTCTATTTGATCTCTTTATATGTTGTACAGTTGACTTTGAATACAAGGAATATGTACAGAAGGAAAGTAACAACAGTAATACATAAAATAGGTAGTTCCAGCCGTCGAGTGGAGAATTAAGCAATCACTCTTGATTTGCTACAGGTTGTCGTGGTTTATGGGTAATGTCTTGCAAAGTGATTGGCTGATTGGTAGGATGCTCTTCAAATTTCACTTTCACTTCCAGTTCCACTGGGGCTTTGCTGATCGCATTCTTCTGATTTATCCTCCTTGGTATAAAAGTAAAGGGCAGCACAGAGGTAGTAGCAGATAGTAGCAATAGTTAAGAATGTCAAGGTTCTAAAATTCTTATCCAGACGGCTCAAATTAATTTTTTCTTCTAACCAAGTTTGTCTAAGCGCCAAAATACTAAGAGCAGTAATTAATTTTCCGATACCAATGATGAAATGGTTGGTGTGGGATCCGTAATACCTAGCCATTACTTTGTCATCAGCATCATCCACTCCATGAACGATCAAATCAGTTAATCCACCTCCCACAAGCCCTTCCATCAGTCCTGATAGGAAGAACTGCGGAAGTAACCAAAAGATAGTCATGGCAACAGGCTTTACAGTGTGGTCTCCAACTCCCACCCTCCAAAGGTTCTTCATCCTCCGGATCTCAACCTGCCATGCAGCAAAACAAGACAGCATGCTGCAAGCCATTCCCCACCCGATTCTCACCCGCGTCGTAGCACTTGAAGATTTCCATTTCTTTGGAATTGTTCGAGACAATGACTTTGAAATTGACCTAATGCAGTAGAAAAAAACTTCAGGGTTAGAGCCTGTGAAGGGGTTGTCCAAGTTACTGAGTTGTTCAAAGAAGAACGTGCTTCCAGCTGCCATTAGCACACTGCACCCAAGGTAGGCTAACCACGTGGCTAGCATTTCTTGTACTAAAAAGTTTTTTCTCCTTGATCAGTTTTTCAATTAGCACCCAAAATTTACCTCCTCCTCCTGCTAGAATCTTGTCTAGACGAAGGCTTAAGCTTCCTGAGGCTTGGCAAGGCTCCTTCCCTCTTTCTTCTTGTTTTACGATATCGTTCTCTTGGTTCTGCGCTTCTTCTATGCTAGCCTCTCGTTCAAAAACTATAGATTCTTTATTATCGATGAAAGAGTAGGAGGAGAAGCCAAACAAAAATACTATATAAGAAACACCCATCGCAAATGTTGAAATCATGAAGGTCCGCACCCAAGTTGAGTGCTCCCAAACCCATTATTGAGGAGGGGAGTGCGGATAATCTTCAGTCGATGTAAAGGAGGTGAGGGAGGGTGTTTTGCTTTTGAAAGCAAAATCTGCAGTCTTCACAACTAATTAAATTAGTTCCCTCTTCTCTTGCAAAACGAAATGCGTATTAGCCAAAAATAATAGCAATGAAAACATATAATGCAAAGGAAGATGCACTCTGTGAGCGTGAATGTTTACTCTGAGAGAGAGCGAGAGAGAGAGAGAGAGAGGTGAGGAGAAGGTGCACTCTGTGAGAAAAACTAATGCAAAGGAAGTTTGTTTAGGCAGTGTAGAAGAGGCAAGTGAGAGAGACATGTATATATATATATATATATAGTAAGCCACCATTGTAATAGCAACCAAGAAGAGAAAGACTTCCTCTTTTTTTCTTTTGTTGTTTTTAATGAAAAGAGAAGAGAAGACTTTCTCTTCTTTTTCTTAATTTTTTAAAATTAAAAAGACGAAGACTTTTTCATTGAAAGTCTTTGAATAAAGAAATACCATACAAAGTAAAAATGATAACTCGAACTAAAGAATATTTGGTTTGAAAACGGCAATTAAAGTTTGAAACCTTAAACTAAAACAGATGGTCTCATGTTAAAAAGGTGCTTATTTCGCTTTTGAATACTTTAATTTTTGCATCTTGTGAATATATATATAGCTAGCCCGTCAATCAAAATATATTTTAAGGTGTTTGTTTGTACTCAATACATGAATGAATGTACTGTAGAAAAAGCGTGTTGCTTGATGCGTGCAGCGTAAACAAGGACCTTTGATTAAAGAGCAAATTGTGTCGTACACCCCCTTTTTTTTTGGGGGGGGGGTCAAAAGGATACTTCCATAGAGAGCCCGAAACAGGGAAACAATACACAGAGGGAGCCAGCTAGGCTAACAAACAGCCAAAAGAAAAACAGAAACCAACGGAAACGCAGCTGCTGCCCATAAAAAACATTAAGGAGGAGCAGGCAAGCCATCTCTCGAAAGGACAGAGACCAAGGAGGGTGGGGGAGTATTAACCCAATTGCAAAAGCACAACCTCCATTTGGCTAGCTTGGCGGCGGCAGCATCAGCGGCTCCGTTAGCTTCACGACGAATCCAATTCCAGTCACACTGGATAAAGGACGCTTCCAAGCGACGAAATTCCGCAAGGAAAGGATAGAATCTCCAGTTACCAGTTGCAGAACCATTCTTAAAACAAGGAAACAGCTCAGAGCGGTCAGTCTCCACTACCACATGCTGCACGTGAAGGGAAGAGGCGAAAGAGAGGCCCACGATCGCAGCACGTGCTTCACACTCAGCCGCAGACGGGAGATTACAGTGTTGTCCAGCGGCACCAATGAAGGAGCCGTTATGATCACGGATAACCACTCCAATACCACCCAAACCCGTTTTGGCCTCCCAAGCCCCATCAATATTGATTTTGACAAAAGGGAACCAGTGCGGTCTAGTAGGAGCATCCTGTATAATGGGGGGGCCATTAGAGGCCAAGGCCTTGACCCGCAAAAATTCCTCCAAATAGCTCATGGTTCGGGAAAGAACCAGAAGAGGAGAGGGCCGAAGATCATTGAAAACCTCCTTACATCGAGCCTTCCAAATTTCCCAAGAGCAAAACATGAAAAGGGAAATTCCCCAATCCCTTTGATCACCATCAACAAAGGAGCTGCTCAGAAAACCAGAAAACCAAGAATCCAGTGTGGTTATTGAGGCCAAGTCCGGAGCGTACCCAAAAGGACAGCCAAACCAAACCGCCCTCGTCCAAGGGCATAGCAGTAGCATGTGCTCCACCGTCTCAGGGAACAAGCCACATAAGTGACACATAGGAGATTGGGATAACTTCATCCTAAAGAGATTAGCACTCGTGGGAATGGAGTTCGATAACGCACGCCACATAAAGTTCCTAATTTTAGGAGTGGTGCAAGCCCTCCATATAACTTTCCAAACGTCGGTATTCACCGCATGGGAGGCAGAAGCTCGATCACTTGAGACAGGAGGGGAGACATTTATGGCATGATAATAACCAGTTTTGACAGAGTAGTCCCCATTTTTTACCGCAGGCCACACCAAACGGTCACAAGTAGCAAGGGAGCCAATGGGAGTAGTCTGGATTTTAGTGGCCTCTCAGGGAGGGATAAAAGGCTCAATGTGAGAGATATTCCAGGTCCTGTTGTCCACGTCGATGAGATCCGCAACCAGTAGGGGGGTGAAGCGGTTACTGGAGGGGAGGGGAGAGGTCTTTCTCGAGTCACAACCCATTAACCATCGATCTTTCCACACATCCACCGAACGACCATTACCAATTTGCCAGCGAGCACCATTCTCAATAATATCACGACCAACTAAGAGGCTACTCCAGGCCCAGGACGCACGCTCTCCCTTCTTTGCGTCAAGTAAAGAACATTCAGGGAAGTAGCGAGCCTTCAAAATCCGTGCCCAAAGGGCATCCGGGTTGCGCAATATTCTCCAACATTGCTTGGCAAGTAAAGACTGGTTGAAAGCATGTAAATCATGAAAACCCATGCCCCCCATTGCTTTAGGCGTGCAGAGCTTCTTCCAAGAGTGCCAATGGATTTTGCCCTGGTCTCCATTGTGCCCCCACCAGAATCTCGCCAAATCAAAGTTTATAGAATTGCAAAGAGTGGTTGGCAGAAGGAAACAAGACATTGGGTAGGCCGGGACAGCCGTAGCCACCGATTTGACAAGGACCTCCCTGCCCGCTTGAGATAATAGTTTGAGTTTCCACCGACGCCAGGGATACAGCCACAATGATTTCTAGTACCAATATCAGTGTTTGGTGAAAAGTACAAACTGGATTTGTGAAATTTCACCTCCTGGCCCGAAGCAGAGCAGTAGTTTTCCAGAGTAGCCTTGAGAGCAGAGCAGTTTGAAGGAGTTGCCTGCAGAAAAAACAGGGTGTCGTCCGCAAAGAATAGATGGGATAAACCCGGACCACCTCTGCTTAATTTAATACCCTGTAGCACACCAATATCAGTAGAATTGATTATATTGAGAGATAGAACCTCAAAGACAAGAAGAAAAAGATAGGGAGATAGTGGGTCTCCTTGGCTCAAGCCCCTAGAGGGGGTAAAGTGATTGCCCGGGAACCCATTCAGCACCAGAGAGAAAGAGATAGTTTTGACACACAACATGACCAGATCAATCCAACGGTTGTCGAAGCCGAATTGACAAAGAGTGGCCTCCAGGAAGTCCCTAAACGGTTGTCGTACACCCCCTTAAACTAGGATCCGAATCAACAAACTTAACTCCCTAAACTAAAAAATCAGTTAATTTAACACCCGAATTAATTAAAATGGCCAATTTAGCCATCGCTGTTAAGTGTCGTGAATTTTCATTCAATTTTTCGTTAACTGTAAGGATAAACTTGTAATTTTGAGTAAAATAAAAGTAAAAGGTCACTTTTGGAGGGGCTGGGTAATCTGGGTTCTGAGGGGTTGGGTAATCTGCGCATCTCGGAAAATCTGGGTTTTGGAGGGGCTGGATTTCGAGGGGCTGGGTAATTTGGGTTTCAAGGAGCTAGGTTTTGGAGGGATAATGTTGTGGGTCGCAGGAAAATCTGACATGGAGATGGTGGTGGTATAGTTGTAGATCTGAGATATTATTGTTGTTGGGTAATTGGTAATTATATTGCGGATGATCTTCTTGTTAATTTCCACGAGGTACTTGTTCTTGTTCTTGTTGTAGATGGGAAGAATTGAATGAGCCCATGAGCATTTACTTCTTGATCTTTCAGCTGGCTAGCTCTAGCTAGCTGCTTTGTTCAAGAACTTGGCAGCTGCTAGCTGCCAAGAATGAAAATATCGACAATACAAATATTATCTTGCCTTTAGTTTACCAATATTTTGGAGATATATCGATGCCGTTTTATATATCAGGGAAAATTAACAAAAAAGACAGATATTGATTTAAAAACACAGAATTTTGAAGTGAAACTTTCATAGATATTAAACACATTATCAATGAATGTATTGAACTGTTTGGGCCTAAAAGAAATCCATGTGTCAGCTCATCTTCACAAAGAAAGGCCCACAAAACAGAAAAGAACAGAGGACTGGGCTTTGATTTTGAAAAAAGCTCAATCCACATCAGAGGCCCATGTCTTTTACGAAGTAGCAAAGTTGTAAAAAACACGAAGTAAGTCAATAAAATTGCCAAATTAAATGGCACTTGACCACTAAGAGCATCTCCAACCGATATGTCAAAAGTGCCACATAGACATTTAACAGCTAGAAATAACATCTCACATCACTCCAACCGATGTGTCAAAGCTGATGTGGAATGAAGGCTGGAGGTTGAGATGTTATTTTTGACATCCCAAAAGCAAGATGTCAAATGAATATTTTATTATTTTTTAAAGACAGCTAGCTATTACTTTCATTTCTTTTTTTCTTTTTTTCTTTTTTCTTCTTCTTTGTCTTAAATGATTTGACTGTTACAATAATTATTTATTTGACATATCGGGTGGAGTGTAAAACTGTGTAAATGTCAAAATGCCACATCAGCCATCAAATTTAAATTTGACGTTTGGTATTTGACATCTCCCTTGGAGATGCTCTAAGCAGATCGATAAAAATCTAAAGGAGAATTGGATTGGGCCCAGCTT